AGCGCGGCGCGCCTGGGCCGCCGCTAGGGGGAGCGGGGGAGCCCCGGCCGGCGCGGTGGGGGAGGGGAGGCCGGGCGCCGGGACCCGACCACGTGCGCACCACGTGGCGCCCCCGGCAGCCCCCGACCGCGGTAGGGCCGCCGGACCGGCCACGCCGCGCAGTCTAGCCCGCCAGAGGCGCAGGGCTGGGTCTCCCCGCCGGAGCCCCCGTTGACCCCTGACCTCCGACCCCCCCACCCTTAGGGTTACCCCCTTGCCGGTAGCCGCGGTGTGTTTATAAACAGAACTCCCGGCGGAGCCGAAAACCCGGATAGCGGATTAACACTCCGAGGAACGGAGCCTTCCGTGTCGTGCGCCTTTTGCGCATGCGCCCTGCGGCAAGCCTCGCGGGCCTCCTCCTGCGCTTGCGCGCTGGCGGCAGGGCGGCCGGTGCACCGGGCGGGGTCGTGCGGCTGGAAGGGCGGCTGCGCCCTGCCCCCGGCCCTTCCCGGCCCTATCCCCGCCCTTCCGGGCTATGTGACCCCGGCAGGCCGCCTGGCTGCTCTGAGCCGGGGCTTCGCCTGCACAGTGGGGCACACATGGGTGGTCGTGCAGGTGAAATACTGACCTTCCCTGGACGGTGCCCTCGGCCCGTAGTGCCCCCCTGGGCAGTGTCCAGCTGGCGCTAGAGAGAGCCCTTAAGCCCTGCAGCCCCCGCGCTGCTGAGTGGGGGAGCAGCGCGTGGTACTCAGGCGCAGTCGGGTACTATTCAGCCTTGAAAGGCCACAGAGTAAGTGCTGCTCTGTATAGTTTCCCGCAGTATAACATGTGCAGCTTATATGGCACGGGTGGGCCTGAAAGTCACTGCTCGAGTGACATAATCCGGACACGAATGACACCTCCTTTGCGACCCCACTTGCAGAGGTCCCTGGAATGGGCGGATTCAGAGAGACACAAAGTGGAAGGGTGGTCATCAGGGCCGGGGGAGGGGCGTGGGCAGTTCTGATGGGGACAGAGTCTCAGTTCTGGAAGATGCAAAAGTTCTGGAGATGGATGGTGGCGGCAACCGCACAACGGGAACGTGCTTGACGCCCCTGAACTGCGCACTTAGAAGTGGTTAAAGCGGCAAATTGTATGTGATGTGTATTTTACCACAATCCACGCCTCCCTACATCAGATGACAGTTTTGCCTGAAAATATCCTTCCTGTGTTTTAGAAGGCCTGGACTTCTCCCACCCTGCCTGAGTCATCCTGAACCCTGGCAGCCTCAGCCAGGTGCTCTTCTCACCCGGAACACACCGTCCTCATCATTTCTCCTTGCTGTTCTCTGTCAGAAATGCCTGTCCCTCTCATCTTTTCATGGCTTCCCAGGCTTCCCTTATGCCAGGTGTTACACACAGAGCAGGGGATACACAGGCGATCAAAGCAGGCAAGGGCTTTCCTCCCACAGACCTTGTATTCTGGCAGAAGACAGAGTCAATAAACAAACAGAAAGGTATCAGATGGTGGTTAAGTGTGGTAAGAACCCCGCAGCAGTGTGATGGCTGGGGTGGGAGGTCTGGTCCAGTCAGACGCTCTCAGGGCCGCCCTGAGGGCTGGTTGAGCTGAGACCCTACAAGATAGGGGACCCCCGTGGGAGACGCAGAGGGCGGCGGAGAGGAGTTTCCTGGGAGAGGTAGGAGAGCTAGTGGGAAGCCCGCCAAGGCCAGGGTCATTCCAGTGTGTTCCAGGGACAGGAAAAAGACCAGGTGGCAGGAGCAGGTGAGCAAGGGAGAGGTTTAAGTGAAGTAGGTCAGACAGAGAAAGACAAGCATTGCATGATATCACTTATATGTGGAATCTAAAAAACACAAATGAACTTAGTTACAAAACAGAAAGGCTCACAGATAAAAAACAAACTTACGATTACCAAAGGGGAGGGTGGGGGACACATTAGGAGTCTAGGATTAATATATACACAGTACTATATACAAAATAAACAACAAGGTCTTACTATATAGCACAGGGAACTATATCCAATAGCTTGTAATAATCTTTTATGAAAAAGACTAAGAAAAAGAATATAAATGTATAACTGAGTCACTTTGCTTTATGCCAGAAACTAATACAACATTGAAAATCAACTATACTTCGATTTAAAAAAAAGAATTGAGGGCAGGGAGACAGGTGCTCCTATTACTAAAACCATGGAACAAATGACCCTCAGACTTACTAGCATAAAGCCTCCATTTTATTTGGCTCACAATTTGATAGGTCAGGGGTTCGTCTATGGCTCAGCCAGGCATTTCTTGTGGAGAGTCTCATGCAGTTACCATGAAATGTGCTGGGGTGCGGCAGCTGAAGGCCAGATGGGACCAGACTCCCAGGTTGGCTGGCAGGTAGGAGATGCTGGCAGTCAGCCGGGAGCTCAGATTGGGGGCTGTCCTCAGAGCACCCACCTGCGGCTTCCTCAGCAGGTTGTTCCTGGGGAAGGGGGACTTCTCGCAAAGCAAGGTTCCCAGGTGAGCTAGGTGAAGAGGACATGGCCTTTTAAGACATCCTAGAAAGTCACATCTTCTCACTTTTGTCATACTTTGTCAGTTGGAGCAATCAGAGACCTGCCCAGATTCAAGGAGAAGGGATGGAGGACCCCACCCCTCCCAAACGAGAAGAGTGGTAAAGATTTTTGGAGCCACATGCTTCGCGGTGAAGTGACTTGCCCAGGGTTACGGGGCAGAGCAGGGTGGGACCAAGTGGATCCAGCCCCGTGGCCCACATCTTTCTTACCCCTCTCTCTGCTCCCGCCACGTGGAAGGGAGGCTTCAGGGTTAGAGTCTCAAGACCCAGTTCTGGCTCAGACATCTTCTCAGAGAGGCCTTTGGGAACAATGCCTTCTTGGACTAGCACTCGGCCCTCTGGTTCAGGACCCTGTTTTAGTGCCTGCAGCCTTATCACAGTGTCAGGTAATGGTGTATTGTCAGTCTTGCCCACACCCGAGAGCATCCTTTGTTTTGTTCACAGCTGCCTTTGCAGCATCCAGCTGGGTCTCATCTGCAGGAAGCAATGAGGAACCCCACGGGAGGGGCCTTTGGGTTTAACACAGGGCTGGTTCAGCAGGTCACCGTGTTCCCATCTGCCACTTGCCGAGTGCCTGCGACACGCCAAACACATTGTAGACATTCACGTCGTCCTCCCAGCAAGCCACAGGCCCATTTTACAGAATGGGAAGTAGAGGCTCCAGAAGGGAGAACCAGGATTCAAGCTGTGGACAGGATTGTTTCCCCCCTGATGACAGCCCTCTCCCCCGTCCCCCAAACATGTCAAAGATGAAAGAGGAAGTAAGTGAGAGGTGAGTGTGGGGTCCCATGGGGATGACTGTGACGAGTCCTTATTAAAACATGGTGCTTGTTAGCATCACATCTCATCTCTGAAAGGACAGGTGGGGACAGGTTGGCCACACCCTTTGGAGGCATCACCTTCCTCAGTGTCACCCATGGTGGATTTTATTTTATTTTATTTTTAAGTGTAAAGGTTTTTTTTTTTCAATTGTGTAGCATAGGCAACATTATTTAAGTCAGTCAGTTTTTAAGATTTTCACATGTTCTGACTCCTTCTGCTGCCCCTCACCTTAGTTCCTCCAGTGTCAGTTGTCATCTTCAAGAAGATTTTTTGCTCAATCAACAGTTGTCATGTCAATCAGTCCATAGTTCTTTTAGTTGGCCTTCTTGGAACTCCAGTGGAACGTGGACACTTCACAAACTCTTCATCTGTAATCTCTGGGATCCAGTTTCCTCGAGCAGTTCACTTGAGGACTATCATCTGGGGTCAGGGAAGGTGGGTCTGCCTGGTTCTGGGTTTCAGAAGCCCTCTAAACATGCATTAAGTTCAAATCGGATTTACTCCCAAGCTTATCACAGCCCAGAACAGCATTGATCATTGGAACATGCCAATACCTAAGACTGAAAAGTCTGTTAGGTTTTCATAGCTTCTTTTGCAGCTCTGTCTTGTAGCCCCCACAGATCTAACATGCAGCTCTGCAGGGGAAGGAAGCCACGTGGTTACCCTGGGAGGTGCTTCCAACGATGTCGCTGTACAGAGAAAGCCCCACCGGGAGAGACCTCGGCCCCACTGCGGATTTCAGAATGAAGACCTCTGGGGAGTAAAACTGCAGGGTGCCCACAGGTGGTCCCTCCCCGCTGCCCTGCAGGATGGAGAGGCCCACCTGGGCCCGTGGCTCTCGAGGGTCCAACAGAAAAAAAAAACCCCATCTCCCTCCCACACGCGACCGACCCCGGTGGCAGCGCGGAGCCCCAGATGCTGCCGGAACCTTGTAAGCCACGCGGGGGCCACCGTGTACATAGGGGATCACAGACTCGGAGGCAGCGCTCCTGCCGCCGCAGGAGCGATCAGACTGTTAATGCCGCTGGTGACACTAGCTGATAGCAAGGGGAGACACCTTCACTGAAGCATCTGTTTTTAAAAACATAGCTTTCCTTCCCCCACGAAACTGTAATTTGTTCAGAATTTTTAAATCTTATTTTTGGCTCAGGGTCCTCTGGCTCTTCCTTACTCTCCCACATTTGGAGAAAATCCATCAACTCTTTCAATGTCAAGATACAGCAGAGTGTGTGCTTAGCATGCATGAGGTCCTGGGTTCAATCGCCAGTACCTCCGTTAAATAGAAATAATAATAAATAAATAAATAAATAAATAAATAAATAAATAAATAAATAAATAAATACCTAATTACCTTCCAAACAAACAAACACAGTTTAAATTTTTTTAAAAGATATAGATCTATTCCTGGAATATTATCCTTTCTTCTTCCTCTCCCCCCCGGTTTTAGACGTAGTAGAAGTCCATCACACACAGACACACATGCGCGCCCACCCCAAGCACAGCGCCACGCGCCAGCCCAGGTGCCTGTGCTCTGCACGGGCGCTGCTGACGACCTCGCGGTCGTTAAGCGGGGTTCGCAACTGGACACGTGAGGACACACGACAGGTTTGGAATTTGAACATCTAATGACATTTGGAGAAGAGGTGACGACATTCAAAATGAAGCCTGAGGACCACTCTTGGTCTGTCCAGTGTTTCCTGGTCTGTGACGAGAAAGTACAGAAATTGGAAATAAGCATTTAGAAACTTCTTTACTAATCTGACATTTTAATGACATCCAAGAGTGGCTCCTGTTGCCCGTGGTGTCATCTATTTCACAGAACACGTTGGGAGAAAGACCGAAGGCCTGGCCTTTAGTGCATGTGGTTTGTGAGGGATTTGGAATGAAGAACTCACCTAAAATTCCCTGCACAGAACGTGAGCTCCACCTAGAAACCCAAGACAGTCAGCTGGGAAGCTGCCATAGGAAGGGCGACGACACAGCGAATATTTAAAAAAAAAATCAACAGCTGCTCTGCACACAAATAACACCTCCTCAGGAAACAGAAGACCCTTCCGTAACAGAAGCTAAAGTGAAAATAGCCAGGCACAAACTGAAAAACGGGCAGAATCTTTATGATTTTGCTCCCTTTCAGAACTGGAAGACATAAGGAAGCTTCCTGAAAAAATGGAAGTGTTCCGCCTGGTTAAGAAGGACCCTGACCACTTGGCAACAGTCCGAAAGGGCAGCCAAGAAAGCCACGGAGTGGTTCCAGAAACTCACGGCTTCTCGTGACACAGGAGAGCACGCCTGTCTCTCTTTGCCTCTCCTGGACGTTTCACTAAGACGGACCCTCGCTGTTGTTCTTTCCCGTCTGGCTCCTGTAACTTAGCTGATCGTGTTGTCAGAGTTCCTCCACGTTGTGGCATGCATCATACCCCGGTCCTTTTTAAAGGCTGAGTAATTCCGTAATCAAATGTGGACAGACCTCATTTGATTTATCCGTTCATCGGCTGAGGGACACGTGGGTTGTGTCTCCCTTTTGGCTGCTGTGCGTTCCCATTTTCGATTCTTCTGAGAATGCACGCGGGAGTGGCACTGCCAGGTCACACGGTAGCTCCCCGTAACTTCTCCGGGAGCCGTCAGACCGTCTCGGCCCTGCGACGGCGGCGCGCCCTCACGCGCCCTGGTCGGGCCGCGCTCACAGTGACGCCCATCCTAGCGGGCGGGACGCGGCGCCTCACTGTGGTTTTCTCCTGAATCCCTCTGCTGCTGAGTGAGGCTGAGCGCCTGTTCCTGTGTTTGTTGGCTATTTGTATATCTTCCCTGGAGAAAACACTCCAAGAGCTATTGAGAAAAATCTCGGCAAATTTTAATAAAGTATCGATAAAGTATTCTAACAGAAAGCAAAGCTCTTGGACTTTGCTTTACATGAGAATCATCTGGGAGCTTCAAAAATCCCTGGCGTGCAGGCTGCAGCCCATGCAGATTAAATCGGGGTCTTGAAAGATCCCCACATCTGTAATTTTTTAAAAACCGATTTCAAGGTGCAGCTGGGCTTGAGGACCAGGGTTCCAGGGCAGCGCAGCCCCGTCTTCACCACAGCGATGACTCACTGTGGACCTGGTCCGCTTGCAGACTCTGACCCAGGAAGTCTGGGGCGGGCCTCAGACGCCACGTGTTTAACAAGCTCCCAGGTGATGCTGATGCTGCGCAGAGGACAGCATCCTGAGCAGCGAACACTCCTCTGGGCGATGCTCATGTCGAGGCTGCTGGTCCCTGGACCACATTTTGAATATCCGGGACCAGACCAGCTGCACCAGCATCTGGGATGTGCTAGAAACGCAGACTCCCAGGCCCCTCCCCAGGCACCGCCACGGAATCTGCATCTTCCCTGATCCCGGGTGCTTGCCAGGCACATTTACCCCAGGGAGAAGCGCTGGTCTGAGGCGCTTCCTGCCTTGGCCTCGTGGTCTGGCCAGCTCATGGCGTAGGGGACGGGCGGCGGGTGTCAACACTTGCACAGCAAAGGGAGAATGACAATGAGTGGATGCTTCTCTAGTGCTCTGACCTTTCTCGGATCAAAAGCTGTGATTATGACGGTGATTCTGTGGTTCTGGCTGAGTTTGCCACACCTTTGATCATCCTGGAGCGCCCGGTGCCCTGGAGAGGGCAGTGCAGGACGGGAATTGAACCGGACTGAGCTGAGAAAACCCGCAGCAGCTCCTCCCTGACTTCTCACCAACGGTCTGGCTGTAACTGCCAGAACTGGCCTGGGGCTCTCCCAGGGAGCCTCCCCTGACCTCTGGCTTCCTGAATAAATGGGGCGTGTGAGTCAGCCCCGCACCCCGCCCTGCGCCATCCTCCAGCAGGACGGCTTGGACGGACGCTGGGGGGAGGTTCACTTTGATTGGCTGGAGCAGGAGAGCCTTCATTCAGTTACCCGACCGGCATGTATTGATGGATTCTGGTGTGATGTGCAGCCTGCTAAGTGCTGGGGACACAGACGCAGTGCAAAGGTAACAGTCGGCGATGAAGCATCACCCAAACACACGTAAACGATGAACAAGTGCCACCGACGGGGGCTGCCCGGTGCTCAGAACGGACAGAAGGGGTTTGACCTTGTCCAGGAGGAGAGATCTAAAGCAGAAATAAGGAGGGGACAGCTCTGCAGAGGGCGGGCAGAGAGCAAGCTGCGCGGCTTTCAAGTGGAAGTATAACTCTGCATGTCTGTGTGGACGACAGATTCCCTTAGATCCCCCTTCCCCTGGTGACAATCACCTCTAGAGCTTCCAGGACATCGAGTCACTGACCGTTGTCTGTAGGGATGGCCCCAAACCCCTGGGAAACGCCTGCCTTCAAAGCAGTCAGCACGTGCTCCGCGAGCAGGTGTCTCCTGTGCAGTGTGGCTCTGGGCCAGCCCGAGAAGCACCAGCCGGGCTCTTGTCTGCAAAGAGCCACTGATTTTACTGCAAAGATCAGAAATGACCAAGAAAAAGAAAAAGAGAACACTGCGGCATGGTTTACAGAATGTCAGACGAATGCCGGAGGGTGGGGGGCTGCTGTGGGGGTCCAGAGGAAAGGTGGGCGCTGGGGAAAGATGAAGTGGTCTGGGGGGGGGGCGGCGGCGGCAAGGCTGCCTTTGGAGCAGGAAGCCGCATCTCTCCAGCTCATCCCCCACCCTGGGACCCCAGGATGCGAGAGAAAGAAGCCCTCCAGAGCCCACCTGGCTGACACTGCCCGGCAACGCCCAGCTCCATTCTACTCGTTCATTCTACTCGCAGACCAAGGCATGTGCAGCATGAAATAGCATTGGGAGTCGCTGGCTAGATGGCTGGAAGTTCCTCCCCTTCATTCCTCCAGACAATCAAAGTCTTAGGGAGAGGCAGGCGTTTTAGGCACCTCACCGACACACTCTTCGGCCGGACGCGGGGGCTGGGCAGGGACTTCTCGCCGGGGTGCACCGGGGCTCGGCTGCCCACATCCGAATCCCAGCATCCTTCCGACGTGACCTGGTTGGGGACCCTTCTCCTGTTGGTGCCTCAGCTCACCACGTGGGGAGTCACAGGACCCATCCCGCAGGCTTGGGTGAGCATCCAGTGAATGAGCACATGTCAGATGCTTAGCACAGCATGTCGTAAGGGGTCAGTCAGCGTCACGATGTTGACGTCACCAGTGCCACTGACAGATCATGCAGGGTCCTGAACGGTTCACGCTTCAGACGGAGTGTCCAGGTCCAGGGGGAGGATCCCAGTCCCAAGAGGCAGACTGCTGTGAAGTCGGTGGCTGGCGGGGGTCAAGGGGCACGGTCTGGATGTGAGGACTGGCTGCCCCCAGCCCTTAGAGAAAGACTGAGGGGAGGCTGTACCCCACCACCCAGTCTGCCATCTGGGAAGACCGGGGAGGGGGTCCTGGAGAAGGAGCCCGCCTCGGTGGCTCATGTGCTGTGAAAACCGACATGGGAGTTATGAGACGCAGGTGCCCATTTATTATGGACGGAATGTTTGTGTCCTTCTAAAACTCACGTGTTGAAATCCTAACCCCAGTGCGGCTCTGTTTGGAGATGGGGCCTCTGAAGATGCCGTTAAGGTTAAACGAGGTCCTAAGGGTGGGGCCCTGACCCGCTGGTGTTAGTGTCCTTTTCAGAGTGCTCTCTGGTTTTCTCTCCCTGCTGTGTGAGGTCACGGTGAGAAGGTGGCCGTCTGCAAGCCAGGAAGAGCGTTCTCACCAGAAATGGGCTCCACCA